TTCTACTCTGTAGGAGGACAGATCTCATTCATTCTGAACTTAGGGATTCTGCTCCATGGAACCAGACAGGAGCCACGCATGGTGAAGAGCATGGGGTTGGAGGTGAAGCAGTTTGCCTCAGTCCTGGAAGAGGACATCATGACGGGATGGGAGATAAGGCCTTGCTATGGGCAACAAGTTTAAGTATGGAAACCAGGTTTACCTGGCCCAAGATGGAATTATCAATATGGCTAGAGCTTTAGCCATGCAGATCTCGTGTAGGATTCTGGGAATGAGTGGGATGGGTAGGAAGGTAAACTGTTGGGGCTCATCCCAGCGGATCAGGAACACATCGCCCTGGGATCTCTTGCCCAGTCTTGCATGTGAACAGAAACGGGAGCACTTGGCGCTGCTGGGGGTCGCAAAGAGATCTATGGAAGGATCTCCCCAATGGCAAAAGACAGAGGTAAACACTGCTGGGTGTAGTTCCCACTCATGGTCGATAGAAAAGTTGCAGCTCAGAGCACCCAGACGCTGTTCACCGCAGGTAAGCATGACGCTTTGAGGGTGATCCCGTGGCGGATGCACTAATTCCAAAGATGAATTGTTTCCACGCAGAGTGATGGGGAGTGCGCCCCACCCTGTCCATTTATATAAAACGTTGTGGTCATGTTGTCAGTAAGTATATGGACAACATGGTTAGCAACGATGGTGACAAAGTGGTTGCATGCATTCATCACAGCCTTGAGTTGGAGGAGACTGATTTGGAGCGTAAATTCATGAGACAACCATCTGCCCTGAATGACGTTTTGGTGCAGGTGTGCACCCTAACCCCATGAGGGAGGCATTGGTGATAATCTGTATCGATGGTTCGGGTTGGTGAAAGGGTACTCCTGCTAGGTGGTTGCTGGGTAGTGTCCACCATCAGAGTGAGTCCAGCACCTTCTTGGGAACGAAGACCTGCTTGTGCAGAAGATGACGAACAGGCTTGTAGACTCATGCTAGCCAGTGTCGGAGGGCTCGGAAATGGAGGAGTGCATATTGGACGACGTAAGCCACATGGCTCCTCAATTGGGGGGGCAGGTAAGTACCATAGTGGAAGGGCTTGTGGTTAATATAGTCACAAGATCACCTAGCACAGTGAAGTGGTGATGTGGGCTCTGGCAATGAGTTAAGATGGGCTCCAATAAACTCTATGCTCTGTGTGGGCTCCATAGTTGACTTCTGTTAATTTATCAGGAGGCCCAGACGACTGCACACATCTGGTTCTTGAGACCATGTTGGTAGTTTCTGCATGGGACCAGCCTTTTATAAGGCAGTCATCTTAGTATGGAAAGATCACGACTCACTGCTGCCGAAAGTAAGCTGTGACTGCAGCAAGGACCTTTGAAAAGACCCAGGGGGGATAGAAGACAGTCCAAAAGGTAGGACTCTGCACTGAAAGTGGTCATTGCCTGCAGTGAATCAGAGGTACTGTCTGTGTGATGGTGTATGGTGAAGTGAAAATATGCATTTTGTAGGTAGAGGGCTGCAAACCCCTTGATCCACTGTTGGTATAATTGAAGTCAGTGTTGCCATCTTGAATCATTGTTTCTGCGGGAATTTGTTTAGCTTCCGGAGATCTAATAAAGGTCTCCAGCCCCCTGTGCATTTCTGAGTCAGGAAGTATTTGGAGTAGAATCCTCTTCCCAGGAAAGCGTCCGGGACCCTCTCTATCGCTTCTAAATAGAGGAGATGATCAATTTCTTGTTTGAGAAGAGCCTCGTGAAAGGGATCCCTGAAGAGGGATAGGGAAGGGTAGGGGAAATGGACGTGAAGAGGACGACGTATCCTGTGTGGATGATTTCTAGCACCCACTGGTCTGATGTTATAGAGTCCCATTGGTAGTAAAAGGAATTAAGTCTATTGGTGAACAGGTGGTACTGGTTTGTTGGCAGAGGCAGGATGGGGAGGTCGGGCAGACCCTTGACCAAATGTTCAAATTTGTTGCTTAGTTACCTGGAAACTGGAAGATTGGGAAGATGGAAGTGGAAGATGGGCACTTCCTTTGGATTCGTTGTCTGGAATGGTTATAGTCATACAGCTTTTGTTGTGCGTGGTTGTAACAGCTCTCTCTTTTCTGTTATATAGGGCATAACGCTTCCGGCGGATCCGAGGCGCGTACCTGCTGAGTGTTTGAAGTATAGTGTGGGAGGCCTTGCTGTTATGTAGGACCTCATCCATACTGGCCACAAAGAGCTTATGTTTATCAAATAGAAGGTCTTCCAATTTCAACTGGAGTTCCTTAGACACTCTGACTGATAGAAGCCTTGAGGCCCTTCTCATTACCACTGTTGTGGCTGTTGCCCTGGCTGCTGAATCAGCTACATCTATTGAGGACAGAATGGCTGCACGAGTAATGGTATGCAGTTCAGAAATAACTGATTTGAGTATGGGTCTTTTGGAGTCTGGGAGATGTTCCATCAGCTCAGCAACTTTGGAGTAATTATCAAAATCATGCTTCGCTAGCAGTGCAGAGTAATTAGCAATTATTAGCTGTAGCGTGACCAAAGAAAATAGCTTTCTTTCGAACAAGTCTAACTCTGTGTGTTCCTTGTCATTAGATATTGGTCTGGATTGAGGGGCTTTTGTACTGTGATTGGCAGCATCCATAACCAGTAAATTTGGTTGTAGATGTGAAAAAAGGAAATCTAAGTTCTCCTTTGAAGGGACAAAGTATTTCCTGTCAGCCTTCTTACATGTTGGTTGGGTGGAAGTGGGAGTTTGCCAAATCTCATCTGAGTCTTTCAGGATGGCCTCATCAATGGGCAGTGTGATCCTTCCCTGTGAGGAGGGACAGATGCTCTTTAAGAGACGGTGTTGTTTCTCCTTGACTTCCTGCAGCTGGACATCTTGACTTGCAGCTACTCTTTTGAAAAGCTCTTGGAATTGCTTCAAATCATCTATCGAGTGAGTATCTTCTGCTATTACCGCTTCATGGGGGAAGATGAAGAATGAAGAATTATCTATCAGAAAATCTCCATAGACTTGGATTTGTGTGTGTTTATCAGGGTTTTGCCTCTCCCCGCCCCCTTAGAGTCCACAGTAGTTGGGAGTGGTATGAGATGGTGAAGGTGGAGGAAGAGCAGATGGAACTGTGGACTTTCTTCTGCGGGGATCCCAGTGGTCCCATGGTGACCAGCAGGGGTGGAGGTTATGGCAATTCCGAACACCAGGGCGGGTGCCGCCGTTTACTATGGTAGTAGTAGAGATGATGAAAAGTAGTGGGGTAATGAGCGCTGTGATGAGAAAATGCAGGAGACCATACTGCACAGAAGCATGCCTGGAGGGAGGGCGGGAGTACCCTGCCTGCCACTTATCTCGGGTGCCAGCAAAGCACGTTGTGCCTGGCTCCCGTCATGGTAAGCAGAATGTGCTGGTGCCAGGACCTCTGTGGGGTGGGCAACATTGACTTGAGTGCTGAGGAGCCTGGGTTTGATGTGAGCCCCTTACGTGTGGGCTGTTTGTTTGATGGTGCCGCTTTTGTCCTTGAAACATCTCTAAGTATTGCTGGCACCAGCATGGATGCACACCAGTAACAGCTCTGTGGTGCCGATGCTGCTCTTTTCAGTACTGAGGCTGGGCACAGTGCATCAGTAGCGGTGCTGGATTGAGACCTAGGCTCTATGATGCAGGAAATGCCCAGCATGACCCCTTTGGCCACCCTGAGAGACAGAGAGGGAGGCAATGATTTTGAGGGGGACAGTCTCTTTTCCAGGTGTTTGTGGGGTAGTGGCAAGGCAGCTCTTTTCCTAGGAGCCTGCCTCTGAGGTAAAAAAGATTGCGAGTTCACAGCTGGTTGAATAGCTTTCTCGAATAAAATCATTCGGAGCAGGAGCTCCCTATCTTTTCTGTCCCTGATCGTGAGACTGTGGCAATGACCATATTTTTGGGGCACATGAGCGTCTCCTAAGCAGCAAATGCACACTGAATGTTTGTCTGAGACTGGCATCGGCCCTTGGCATGTCTCACATTTCTTAAAGCTGGGTGAACCCAGCATTGTGCCGTCAGAGTGTCATGGAGGTGTTAACTGACACCCTGCGGTTTCTCTCACTTTTTTTCTCCCTGTTTCCTCTCATTTTGTTGTTTTCTCTTCATCCTTTCTTTTCCTTTTTTTTTTAAAAGGAGGGGAGGGAGGCAGTATTCTGTTGCTTGAGGAAGCCAATGTCAGGCTGCCTGCGACTCTGTTAGGAGCTGACAGGAATTTTTTTTTTTTTTTAAGGAACGGAGAGAGAAACAACAAACAGTCATAAATCTGAAAAAAAAAAAAAGGATAAGGCTAACTAATTTTCTCTGTGAGGAGAACGAAACACTGAGAGGAACGAAAAGCTCCATCTGCAACCAAAATCGGTAAAAGAGGAACTGAGGGGGGAGGGAGGCAGCAGGCCATGCACGCAAGGCACTAAAGCGAGGATGGCACTAGGTGCTCTTCGCACATGTGCAGCCCACTGATAACTGCTCAAAAAAGATCCACTCTGTGGCTCCAGGACGTCCCATCACCAACAGTAGAGCACGCATGGGGACATCACCCAAAGAAAAAAAATTTAATTTCATCTGAAAATATTTTAAACAATATATTAAAATATAATTATGTTGCACCTGAAGACTAGTAGCTCACTCCCTACTTACCTACTCGTCTTGTGACATACAGAGCCATTCTACCACAGATGTTATATAACATGCACACTAACACTGACTGCTCTCTGAGCCTGCTTGTGTCAATCCCACCCCACAAATACAATGCAATACAGACATTTCTAGGAAATGGTAGTTCCCACTATGCAACGCTGCCCCCCAACACTCCTTCTGTATTTCAACACCAGTTTCTTTGTTATATTGTTGCACCATGCAAATCATAACGGATTTTAATTTTGTTTTTAAATGTATTTTTTTGACTATAAATAGGGATTAATTGTCACTATACTTAATTTAAGACTGCTACATTCAATAGAGGGAACTGACCAAAAACATGCATAACTTACCTTTTCACTGTTCTTGTATTTTTCCCAGCTTTTCAGCATTTTTAGCCATTTTGTAGTTCTTTCAATTTCAAGATGCTTTTGCTGAAATAAAATTACAATTCAGAATAATTTCAAACCTAATTTTTTCGAAAATATCTACGTTCAAGTCTTCTAGAAGTATTAGAAACAAGTTTAATCAAGATATTTTCCACAACAGGGACATTTAAAATGAAGATTTATACTGGCACCACCTTTGCTAAATTAGTCTTGCTTGGAAAAAGCAGGGGGGTTTGCCTACAAGTTCTCAGCCAATTAACTCAAAACAAACTAACTATTTTAAAATTGAATAAACTGTCATTTTAATTGTACTATTGCACAATAGAATACCAACTGAAATGGGATATGTATTTTGGATGTTTTTCTACAATTTCAAATATATTGATTTCAATTATAACAGAAATTTCTAGGAAATGGTAGTTCTCACTATACCACACTACTCACTTTACGTACACTACTCACTATTTTTTACAGTGCAAATATTTGCAATAAAAATATAAAGTATTTTTCAATTCACATCATACAAGTACTCTACTGCAATCTATTGTGAAGTGCAATTTACAAATATAAATGTTCTTTGCATAACTGCACTCAAAAAACAAAACAAAATTTTAGGGCTACAAGTCCACTGAGTCAGCCAAATTTCTAAGACAAACACTTTATAGAATTCCACCAGACCATTTGTTGTTTAAGTTTATCCTGTACAGACTTACTCAGCTACACCCTGAAGCTAAGACAAACAAGTTTATTTACATTTATAGGTGATAATGATGCATACTTCTTATTTAAAATGTCTCCTGAAAGTGAGAAGAATTTGCATGGTACTTTTCTAGCTGACGTTACAAAGTATGTGTGTGCCAGGTATGCTAACCATTCACACGGACCTTCATGCCTTCAACTACCATTCAAAAAGATATACTTCCTCAATGATAATGATTGTTAAAAAACGCGCTAACTGAACTCCTTGGAAAAAAGTGTATATTTCATGCTTCCTACAGTTTATCCACATTCTGCCATATATTTTGTCTTATGGTAGTTTTGGATGACGACTCAGCACATGTTGTCTGATTTAACAACACTCATTGAAGATTTTACAAAACACAAAGAGGGGACCAACGTGAGATTTCAAAAGATAGCTACAGCACTTGACCCAAGGTTTAAGAATCTGAAGGGCGTTCCAAAATCAGAGAACACAAGGTGTGGAATACAATAACTAAAATCTTAGAAGAGCAACACTGCAATGCAGAAACTACAGAAACTGAACTACCAAAAAAGAAAATCAACCTTCTGTTACTAGCATCTGACTCAAATGAATATGCATCAGCCCACACTGCTCTGGATTATTATTGAGCAGAACCCATTATCAGCATGGCAGCACGTCCTCTGGAATGGTGGTACAAGCCTGAAGAGACAAAAATGTTTAACATAGCTGGCACAACAGTATCACGTAAATGTCTGATTTCATATTCAGGTGTCTTTGTAAATAAGAAATGGACAGCATAATCTCTCGTAAATGTAAACAGACTTGTTTGTCTTAGTATTTGGCTGAACAAGAACGAGGACTGAATGAATTAGTGGTTTGAAAGTTCCACTTTTTAAAACCTAAGTGCACTTAAAAATAAAACAAGGCTGCACTTTCACAATGAAGAGATCAAACTACAATACTTATGAGGTGAATCGAAAAATACTATTTCTTTTAACTTTTTTACACTGCAAATATTTGTAATAAAATAATATAAACAATATATATGCTTTGTGTTCTGTGTTATAATTGAAATCAATATATTGGAAAACCAAGAAAACATCCAAACATATTTAAATAAATAATATTAACTGTGCTATTAAAACTGGGATTAATCATGATTTTTAAAGTCTCATGATTAACTGAGATCAATTTTTAAATCCTTTGAAAGCCTCATTTATATATTTTACTTCTGTGAGAATTCTGTGCCACTGCACATGCGCAGAACACACATCCCCATATAATCCTTTTTTTTTTTTTTTGCACAGAAACAATATTCTTCAGGAGTGCTGCAGTTCCACCTTTCACCCACCAGAAGCACTGTGGCACCAGAGCAGGCAGAAGGGGACTGCAGGGACACACAAGAACAAGGATTGCTGGGACACAGGCTTATGGAGCAGATGTGCCTACTCAATAGGACAGGCTCAAGGTTAGCCAGGGTCCACATAGGCAAGGCTCTCTAACTCCCTAATCCATCCTCACCCCATCCCCCAAAAACCCAAACCTTGTTCCATACTGTTCCCACACACAAAACAGACAAACTCTCCAATATCATTCCCAGGCTCCCTCTCTTTTCCTCACCTCCTCTATTGCTTCTGATTCCCTAAAGCCTTTGCACTGCTTCTGACAGGTATGGGAAATATGTTTGCGTATTGTAGTTTAAATTAATTACTCAAAGTTGTCTGTTAATTTCTCTAGTAAGAATCTACTTATAAAAAAATCCTGAATTTTGTCTGTATTACAGAGATAACCGTTATTTTGAAATAAGTTACCAACATAATTGAGATGGGTGTTGTTATATTGCATTATTTTGACAAATAAAGTATGCAGAATTTTAAAATATTGTACATTGTATTTTATTTTTAGGAGAATTCCATATAAAAAAATTAAAAATTCTTACACACACACACAGTAGAGAGGGTTTATATTTCTTTCTGGAACATTTTTGGCAGCACCAAGTACATTAAATGTCTAAATAAAATAAAAATACCTGACTGACAAAAGTTTTACTGACAAAAGGCTCTGGGGAATAGAATGATTTGTCAGCATGAGACGCTCTCCCAACACCAAAGCTAACACCTCACAGTAGAGGTGGATTTATTTTGCCAGCAGACACAACTTACAGCACCCACAGCTGTATGTCTATAAGATATCCTATGTAGCTACTTCTCTACTGACAGGAGAGCGCTCTCCCATCAAACAACCCACACCCAACAAATAGCAGTAGCTATATCAGCAGTCCACAATGGCGCTTCTGTTCATGTAACTTTTGTTACTCAAGGGTGTTATTTCACAACCCTATGCAACATAAGCTTTACCAACAAAATCACTAGTGTAGATATACCCTGTATTCGTTTCCCAAATCTGAAGAAGGGCTCTGTGTAGCTCAAAAGCTTGTCTCTCTCTCTCTCTCTCTCTCTCCAAAAAACAGCTGGTCTGAGCCTGAACTAGGAGCAATAGGGCTCAGGCCAGGCCTAAACTACAAACCTACATATTGGTATAATTACATCATTTACAGCTGTGAAAACTCCAGACCCCTCAGCAACATAGTATGTGGATGCAGACAATACTATGTCAATGGGAGAGCCTCTCTGACGATAAAGCTACAGCTTCTCAGGGAGGCGGATTAACTATGCTGACAGAAGAAGCTTCCCATTGGCTTAGCTGTGCCTTTGTAGTGCTGTGTGTGAAGACAAGGCCTAAGTAAGCTTACAGTTATTTTTCAACTTTAAATTAAATTCCATGATAAAAGTCATGAAGTACCGTGTAAAATAACATGTTTTGAACATATTTATTCTTATCTTCATCCATCTGGCCTAAGTCTGGAGGCAGAGATAATCCACTTTATGTATCAGATATATTATTATAATTAACCATGTATACTACTACTGTTTGGTGAAATCAGGTAAAGGTTATTTCAGAAATTCTTTTAAAAGTGGAATACATAATTGTACAAAACCTTAATTCTCATACACACACAACTTCTGCACTCTAACATAACAGATTTTGATAGAAAAAAATTATACCATATTGATAATTGCCACGGAGAATGCACAAAACAGCCAAATACCATGTGTAGGCTAATGATAGCACTGTATTGCTATGTTAAATAGACCAACAGAGATAACTTTCTGCCAGTCAGAAACCTAACACTGTTTTTATAGCATTACAGGCCATTAGAAAAAACAGAAACATGATGTGCATGATAGCAATTTTCTCCAACTCTCACTTATAAATACTATGGGAAACTATTGTTAGTCCATGAAGTTTGGTATTAAAAAAAAAAAAAGAAGGAAACATTCAAGAGATAGCATTAGAAATATCTGAATGTGAATGTACAATAAAAACTTCATTTTTAAATATGCTGATCAGTAATTTCATAAATGACATCATATGAATTGACTCCATATGGATATACACTTTAAGATAATAGTTCAGTTATATTCAGCAAAATGTATGCAGAAATAAAGCAGCCGGATATAGCTAGAGGTCTGAAAAGCTGAAAGGAAGTATTAGAAAGTTAAAGGTGTCCAAAAAGCTTCTTCCATACTAAAATGGAAATGAAAAATATGACCAAAGTAAATACATGGATGACACACAATGAAAAAACAATGTTATGTCCATTTTCTTGAGTGGTTTAAACACCAGCTCCAATGAACAGGGTTGAGTCAGATATTTCTACTCAGCCGGTCTAACTCATCTTACTTTACGCATTGTACTTCATTGTATTGAGGTTCTTGTATAGTTGCATGCTATTGATGCATTTTTATGAGGTTTGCAGATAAATAGGGGCATCTTCAACTTTTTAAAATATTATTTTATCATGAAATGTTTAGCTTAAAGAGGGATTTACAGAAATGCCTCTCACTTTCTTAGGTCTAGCATCGCTGCACTTATATTGTTTTCACAGTGAGACTGTATTCCTTATAAATATCCCACTAGCAAAATTTTTCCAAATCATATCACTGGGTGTAGTTCAGTCTGGGGATAGAAATATACATACAAAGTTTACAATAAGGCAAGCCAGGTTTCTGTTCCGGACAAATTATTCAGGTGGTCAGAAAAATAAAATCCCATCTGCACCCTGAGCCTCTAATATTGAACTCTGCAATTGACTTTCAAGATCTGCCTTTTCTGAAATGAGTTTCTGGCTGCTTTAGGTTAATTCAGGATTTCTTGTCTCCCAGACAAGGGCTTAAAAACTAGTCTTTGCTGGTTTTTAAGCCCTTCCAAGGTTGTTTTTTGGACAATTGTGGCTTGTTTTTTAACCCGAGCAATGCTCACTTTCACATTAAACAGGACT